AGGTTAGATATTCATCTCACTGGGGTCATCTAAACCCAGCACACTTTCCTGCTTATGCAGGGGGTCGGACTCGATGATCTATTGAGGACCCTTCCGGCCCTAACATCTATGAACTAGAACTCTTGGTAGAACATTCCTTGCGTTTCCGCTTAAGTGAACTGGGGCAGTATTGCTGGGGACATGAGAGAACTAAGAAAGGAGTGTGGGATGGATTTATGGGAAGAGAAGAATGGAGATGCCTAGTAGATTTTAAGAGGATGAAAAGATGAGGCCTAAGAGACAATGGAACTATAGCTGCAGGCTAGAGGTTGGCTAGGAAAAAGCATGATAAAGGCTAAGACGAGACATATGGGATAAAGGATGGTGGGCTGTCCCAGATGTCTGTGGAGTGTTCGGGATTGAGAGTATGGAAGGGGGTAGAAAAGTAAGAAAGATTTATTTACTTAACAAAAACAAAACTACATGTAGTAACAAGACAAACAATGACAGACAAGAACAATTCATGTCGGCATGTGTAATAACTTTGTTCCAACCTGTAATGTGCCCTCCCACCTGGTGGGCCTCACACCATCGCTGGAAAGTGTCAGCCATAGGGATGGGAGGGGGCAGATTCTCCCATAAATGCAGTGGCTCAAGAGGCTGAACAGTTGCAGAATGCACTATTGGGGACACAAACTCAGGGGTGTTGAGCTCAACGGGGTTTCCCTCAGGAAGTATGTAACATCAAATTCCCAAATGAGCAGAGCTACAACAATTACCTTCCCTCCCACAGTTAGCCATTCCAGCCTTCAGGTAGGGAATGTACCCAAGATAATAACTGGTGCCACAGGTGCACTGACAGTTACCACCTTGCCACTCAACTATTCTGTTTCTTCTACTCGGAGACCAGGACTTCACTTGCTCCGGGGTGGCGGGTTTCTTCTAGTGTGGATACTGGAGCTGGACCATGTGAAGACCGTCTGAATGCATTTCCGGGGGATGCTTTTCAGGGTCAGGCCACTCCTTGAAGTCTTCAGGAGCAAGTTCATTAATATCTGGGGAATAAGAAGGATAGTCAACATGCCCTACCCAGGAAACACAATAAGGCATTAATAAAAAGAGTACAGTTATAACAGTCCACCACTTCATGGTGCCAGTTGATTCAGACCAGTGACAGAGCAGGACTCATCTTTAGTGGCTGCCCACTTAGGAATGGCTATGGCTTCACTTGTGGACAGATCCAATCTGTAGGAACAAGACAACAAGGAGCTTGGCTCCCATTAGATGAATCTGACCTAAATGCCCACCATGTACCATGCATACCCTTTGCTAATTATGTCCCCTCCCATTTATTTCCCCAAGGATGCTCCACCACCACTCGATTTCCTGCCTGGAACTTTCCCAGGTCACCACCCCTAGGTTGCTCTACTGCCGGCTTTCAGGGACCACCCAATCCAAAGGCCTGTTGCATAGGGCCACCTCCTGGACAGGGTTGGTCACTGGCCCAATTGATAGCTCAATCTAGGTGCAAGTCCCAGTCCTCAAGAGCCAGGCCAGCGACCAACTGCAAATTGTATTTGAGGAAGCCATTGGCTCACTACCAATCCATTAGACTGAGGATGGTATGGGATGTGATATGCCCATAACATGCTATGTTTCATGGTCCAGTCATACATAAGATAATTGCAGAAGTAAGGGCCATTATCACTCTGTAGTTCTATAGGTGGTGGATACATAGCTAGCAAAGTTTCCAGTGCTGCACAAGTGTGTTGGGTTGTAGCTCTCACTGAGGCGTGGGTGAAAGTTATTCCTGTGGCAACTTCTATAGCTACAAACATGTACTGTTACAACATGTCTTTGATATCAACGGATCCCATTCACGCACGTCCATAAAAC